CCCCCCCCCCTTCTCACCAACTGACAGTCTCGATAGGATTAGTTAAAAACGTTACCTCTTTCGGTACAACTTGCAGCGCCATCGTGGTAAGTAAACGAATAATGCGTGAATGCGCGAAAAAGTTCAATAGACGCGCATTTAAGATTATCCGGCGTGTGATCGCAATGGACATTCCTATCAACCCACGCCGAAAGACACGAAAACTATTACGCGTTAAATATAGCCTACTCTTCGTCAACTTCAAAATCTCCTGTATGACGTGAAGCCGAGAAAGGGAAATGGGAATCGCGTGGTCTGGGCTTGCGGGCTTTGCTGTGTATGAATGGGCGAGTAGGGCGGACGTTGAAGGAGGGACGAGGTGGAGGAATTTTGCAAAGATGACAGCGAGGGTCCATGAGCGTGGGAGTGGGAGTGGGTGTGGGTGTGAGAGTGGGACTGGGAGTGCAAGTTCGACTGATGGAGAAACGAGAGAGCGTGATGACACGGCGAGGATTGGGAAGTCCGTGTGCTCGGTTGCGGCACGTTAAGATTACTCGTTAAGTTCATATTGTTCGGAATGTTCAAATTGCTGGAAACGCTGTTTGGGATTGTCAGACTGTTGGGGATGTTCATGGTACTTGGGAGATTCAAGTTAGTCTGTAGGCTAGACGATAGGGAGAGTGTGCCTGGCGTGAGGTAGTGTACGTTGAAAGATGGACGGGGGGGCTAGTAAAGCCTCATACCTTCTTCAAAGTTGACGATAAGAGGATCGACGGCTGGACTTCCGATGAAACTACCGGCCTCACTGCTTCCCCGACCTTGATCGGATTCAGTGCTGCTGCCGTCGTACTTTGCGTCGTCTACTGAGGGAAGAATACAAAACCGTAGGGTATTCTCGTGTAACTAATATTTCACGTACGTGATGATCCTGGCGCGGTGTAGATCTTGTCGAGAGTCTTACCCTGACGATTGGTCCGCTCCGGATTTGCTGGTTTTGGTGGGAAGGTTGGAGTCCTCACAGGATGGATGGAATACGTGCTGCTGTCTCGAGGAGCTTTTCTGTGCTTGAACGAGCAATGTAGTTTCTTGCAGCCACCTGGTTGTGTTTCCCAGTAACATGGAATCGATCTACGATTTTTCTGTAATAATTCGCAGTATGTCGATTAAGCATTTGGAAAGACATTAAGCGTATGATTGTAATTGAGGGTATATTTACCTTCAATTCCATGTGCCTGAAGCAGCAGGATTCCTTGAGGCAATTACCCTGCTGCCAATTTAGACACATGATCTCCGAGCCCAAGGCAGCTATTTCATGTCTGAATGCACAGCTATCACCCTGTAAAATTTTAACAGCATAATTGTAGTTGAATAATACAAATATAAAAAGATATTATATTCCATAAGTATTAAAAATGCTAATATTCCTAAAAGCATTATACAGTTACTCGCAGTGCCTCATTCCAGTTTCGATATACTGCAAGTGTTAATAGCACCACTAATTATTAATTTAACAATTCATATTTAAAGTATTATTTATCACTATTTACACGCAACACATTTTCATATATAGTTTCCTCTTCGTTTCCTTGTCCTTATAAGATGTGGGTCACCAACTTTATAACTAGGTTCAACACAGACTGTACGTATAATTCGTCATACAGTATTTACTTAATAAATCTATATATTTTAAGAATATATAAATATTTATAAAGTCCATATTTAACAAAGCTACTAGCAAAATAATAATGACAAGGAATAAATGTAGATACCGGTAATTTTTCTGAAAGTAAATTACAACACGGCTTCAACATGGCCGACCTAATCTCACATTCGAAGCAGTTACACACAATATGGAATTGATTCTAAATAGAAATAAGGAGAGTCAAATTCTAGAGGCACAAAATCAAGACATCTAATATTTAAAATCAACCAGTATCTCACCTTTGTACATGTTGAATAGTAGAAAAAGTAGCAGTCGGTATTCTTTTGACTGTCCATCTGCAAGAACTTGTAGAACGATGAATGATCGTGTTCTTTGCTGAAAAAGAACGTAACTTTTAGCATGCAAGCGTTAAAGCACTCTCCTCGTTAAATGTTCTATCCTTTAGACTAGACAGTGAAACAGGAACTCAAATAATCCAACAAAACGTTACCATTTTGTTGGGAACATGATTCCACTCGTAAAAGTTTCTCACTCTCTCTCTACAACAGTTCGAACGTTACTAGAAAGGTCTCTAGAATTTCACTGTATAACGAATAAATGGCTGGATAAATGTTCTAAACTGTGAGGACATTTTTTGCCAATATTATCCCTTTGTCAAAATGTACTTACATCCAGCAATGATACCTCTTCGGTCACTTCTTTTTTGCCCTCTCCGTTCAAATCACACAACAGTCCGCTCCACACGTACTACACTGCTTCGCTCGTCTCGACTCCTCGTCGTTGCCCGATTGGTTCCGAATTGTCCCGACTTTAACCGATTCCAACCAACTCGCTTATGCACCTATTTAAGTGGTAACCCGTTGAATGTAGGTAGGTTTAGCGATGGGGAGGACGTGGTGGGGGTATGTCAAGCATATACTATAGCAAAATTGTAGTTCCAATCCCGGCGGGTAGATGGCGCTTCGAAAAAACCAAGTGTAGAGTCCCTCTAGCATGGAGACTAGAGTAAAGAAGGCCGAACGCAGTACTTTGGATGTGGTCCCGAAACCAGAGATGAGTAGGGAGATTGCCAATGAGCCTGTTTTTGGTGGTCTCAATTTTTCTCTGGTTTCGGCGCGCCACCTTAGCGGAGGGCTCTCGAAGCAATTCCACGTTTTTGATTGGTCGTGTATATATAGTAATACTACGCGTGGGTAAACTGCAGTATACGACTCTGAACTGAAGTTGGCTGCTAGTGACTTAGATTTTTAACGCTATAATTACGCGTAGTATCTATCAAATGTAATGCGAATCGAATAGAATAGTGGCGCCTCCTGATCGGAAAAAAACGCAACTATCTTTAAAAATTTGAAATGAGTATATTTTTACTGTTATCATATATATTATTTTGTCATAAAAATATATTTTCACAAAATATGATCTAGTAATCGCAATGTTCCATGTTTGGAGATTTTTTCGTTTAATTTTCGTGCTACGCCACACAGGTTTGCACCTATTATGTATACATATATTTTGATATGAAGATATTATTACATATTTTAAAAATAAAAATAATTAC